ATTTGAGAATAATACAAAAATACCTTCAAGTGAACTTCACTGACTTGAGAACTGGGTAGACTGACACAGTCCATCTATCATCACTCACGCAGCAGCAGCCACATGTATAGTAGATGCAACAAAATAAGCAGACTCTTGGGTGTCACTACCGCCCGGCTCAGGCTGGGTTACCAGTATCTCTGGCAGGTTAAATCACCACCACCAGATGGACTATTGTTACACCTCGCTTCATAATGGGCTAGAATGTAATCAAATTAATGAAATCAGAGACAACTCAGAAATGTCCAAGAAACATCAGAGTATTTTATCCACTGTGGTATATTACAAACCATTCCGGAAAAATACCTTGACTTTGCCCACTGTAAGTATTGTATTACCTTATAAACTCTTTTTGCTGTGTGTGACATAATTCATGTCTGAATAAATAGCTTATTACACTTGTAACCTGATATAAACATGCAAATACGTCATTACCACTGTAACTTGTTCATTACCACTGTAACTTGTTCATTACCACTGTAACTTGTTCATTACCACTGTAACTTGTTCATTACCACTGTAACTTGTTCATTACCACTGTAACTTGCTCATTACCACTGTAACTTGTTCATTACCACTGTAACTTGTTCATTACCACTGTAACTTGTTCAACTATCAAAACTTTGCCGGGCCACCACTTGGAAAAGGCCCGGGAGAATACCGGCGAATCTTTAATAATAAAACTTTGCGGCCCAGTAACTGGACCCATTATGTACCAGTAATGGTGTGACTACCACCACACCAGGGGTATGGTGTGACTACCACCACACCAGGGGTATGGTGTGACTACCACCACACCAGGGGTATGGTGTGACTACCACCACACCAGGGGTATGGTGTGACTACCACCCACACCAGGGGTATGGTGTGACTACCACCACACCAGGGGTATGGTGTGACTACCACCACACCAGGGGTATGGTGTGACTACCACCACACCAGGGGTATGGTGTGACTACCACCACACCAGGGGTATGGTGTGACTACCACCCACACCAGGGGTATGGTGTACTACCACCCACACCAGGGGTATGGTGTGACTACCACCACACCAGGGGTATGGTGTGACTACCGCCACACCAGGGGTATGGTGTGACTACCGCCACACCAGGGGTATGGTGTGACTACCACCACACCAGGGGTATGGTGTGACTACCACCACACCAGGGGTATGGTGTGACTACCACCACACCAGGGGTATGGTGTGACTACCACCACACCAGGGGTATGGTGTGACTAACCACCACACCAGGGGTATGGTGTAAACTACCACCACACCAGGGGTATGGTGTGACTACCGCCACACCAGGGGTATGGTGTGACTACCGCCACACCAGGGGTATGGTGTGACTACCGCCACACCAGGGGTATGGTGTGACTACCACCACACCAGGGGTATGGTGTGACTACCACCACACCAGGGGTATGGTGTGACTACCGCCACACCAGGGTATGGTGATGACTACCGCCACACCAGGGGTATGGTGTGACTACCACCACACCAGGGGTATGGTGTGACTACCACCACACCAGGGTATGGTGTGACTACCACCCACACCAGGGTATGGTGTGACTACCACCCACACCAGGGGTATGGTGTGACTACCACCACACCAGGGGTATGGTGTGACTACCGCCACACCAGGGGTATGGTGTGACTACCACCACACCAGGGTATGGTGTGACTACCACCACACCAGGGTATGGTGTGACTACCACCACACCAGGGGTATGGTGTGACTACCACCCACACCAGGGGTATGGTGTGACTACCACCCACACCAGGGGTATGATGTGACTACCACCCACACCAGGGGTATGGTGTGACTACCACCCACACCAGGGGTATGGTGTGACTACCACCCACACCAGGGGTATGGCGTGACTACCACCCACACCAGGGGTATGGCGTGACTACCACCCACACCAGGGGAATGGCGTGACTACCACCCACACTAGAGGTATGGCGTGACTACCACCCACACCAGGGGTATGGCGTGACTACCACCCACACCACGGGTATGGCGTGACTACCACCCACACCAGGGGTATGGCGTGACTACCACCCACACCAGGGGTATGGCGTGACTACCACCCACACCAGGGGTATGGTGTGACTACCACCCACACCAGGGGTATGGTGTGACTACCACCCACACCAGGGATATGGAGTGACTACCACCCACACCAGGGGTATGGTGTGACTACCACCCACACCAGGGATATGGTGTGACTACCACCCACACCAGGGATATGGTGTGACTACCACCCACACCAGGGGTATGGTGTGACTACCACCCACACCAGGGGTATGGTGTGACTACCACCCACACCAGGGGTATGGTGTGACTACCACCCACACCAGGGGTATGGTGTGACTACCACCCACACCAGGGATATGGTGTGACTACCACCCACACCAGGGATATGGTGTGACTACCACCCACACCAGGGGTATGGTGTGACTACCACCCACACCAGGGGTATGGTGTGACTACCACCCACACCAGGGATATGGTGTGACTACCCCCACACCAGGGGTATGGTGTGACTACCACCCACACCAGGGGTATGGTGTGACTACCACCCACACCAGGGGTATGGTGTGACTACCACCCACACCAGGGGTATGGCGTGACTACCACCCACACCAGGGGTATGGCGTGACTACCACCCACACCAGGGGTATGGCGTGACTACCACCCACACCAGGGGTATGGCGTGACTACCACCCACTCCAGGGGTATGGCGTGACTACCACCCACACCAGGGGTATGGCGTGACTACCACCCACACCAGGGGTATGGTGTTACTACCACCCACACCAGGGGTATGGTGTGACTACCACCCACACCAGGGGTATGTATGGTGTGACTACCACCCACACCAGGGGTATGGTGTGACTACCACCCACACCAGGGGTATGGTGTGACTAACCACACCAGCGGTATGGTGTGACTACCAACCACACCAGGGGTATGGTGTGACTACAAACCACACCAGGGGTATGGTGTGACTACCACCCACACCAGGGGTATGGTGTGACTACCACCCACACCAGGGGTATGGTGTGACTACCACCCACACCAGGGGTATGGTTTGACTACCACCCACACCAGGGGTATGGTGTGACTACCACCCACACCAGGGGTATGGTGTGACTACCACTCACACCAGGGGTATGGTGTGACTACCACCCACACCAGGGGTATGGTGTGACTTCCACCCACACCAGGGGTATGGTGTGACTTCCACTCACACCAGGGGTATGGTGTGACTACCACCCACACCAGGGGTATGGTGTGCCTACCACCAAATTGCGTCTCTGACCTTGAAGATGTCATAAGTCACGGAAAGTCATGTAATGGAGCTTATTCAGGTGACCAGCCTGCAGGATAGTTGTTAGTAACCACCAGACTACCAGGGGTGGGGGGTGAAGCAGGTCAGGATAGCTCATAGTAACCACCAGACTACCAGGGGTGGGGGTGAAGCAGGTCAGGATAGCTCATAGTAACCACCAGACTACCAGGGGTGGGGGTGAAGCAGGTCAGGATAGCTCATAGTAACCACCAGACTACCAGGGGTGGGGGGTGAAGCAGGTCAGCATAGCTCATAGTAACCACCAGACTACCAGGGGTGGGGGGTGAAGCAGGTCAGGATAGCTCATAGTAACCACCAGACTACCAGGGGTGGGGGGTGAAGCAGGTCAGGATAGCTCATAGTAACCACCAGACTACCAGGGGTGGGGGTGAAGCAGGTCAGGATAGCTCATAGTAACCACCAGACTACCAGGGGTGGGGGGTGAAGCAGGTCAGGATAGCTCATAGTAACCACCAGACTACCAGGGGTGGGGGTGAAGCAGGTCAGGATAGCCCATAGTAAGCACCAGACTACCAGGGGTGGGGGTGAAGCAGGTCAGGATAGCTCATAGTAACCACCAGACTACCAGGGGTGGGGGGTGAAGCAGGTCAGGATAGCTCATAGTAACCACCAGACTACCGGGGGTTTGGGGGGTGAAGCAGGTCAGGATAGCTCATAGTAACCACCAGACTACCAGGGGTGGGGGGTGAAGCAGGTCAGGATAGCTCATAGTAACCACCAGACTACCAGGGGTGGGGGGTGAAGCAGGTCAGGATAGCTCATAGTAACCACCAGACTACCAGGGGTGGGGGGTGAAGCAGGTCAGGATAGCCCATAGTAACCACCAGACTACCAGGGGTGGGGGGTGAAGCAGGTCAGGATAGCTCATAGTAACCACCAGACTACCAGGGGTGGGGGTGAAGCAGGTCAGGATAGCTCATAGTAACCACCAGACTACCAGGGGTGGGGGGTGAAGCAGGTCAGGTTAGCCCATAGTAACCACCAGACTACCAGGGGTGGGGGGTGAAGCAGGTCAGGATAGCTCATAGTACCACCAGACTACCAGGGGTGGGGGGGGTGAAGCAGGTCAGGATAGCCCATAGTAACCACCAGACTACCAGGGGTGGGGGGTAAAGCAGGTCAGGATAGCTCATAGTAACCACCAGACTACCAGGGGTGGGGGGTGAAGCAGGTCAGGATAGCTCATAGTAACCACCAGACTACCAGGGGTGGGGGTGAAGCAGGTCAGGATAGCTCATAGTAACCACCAGACTACCAGGGTGGGGGGTGAAGCAGGTCAGGATAGCTCATAGTAACCACCAGACTACCAGGGGTGGGGGTGAAGCAGGTCAGGATAGCTCATAGTAACCACTAGACTACCAGGGGTGGGGGGTGAAGCAGGTCAGGATAGCTCATAGTAACCACCAGACTACCAGGGGTGGGGGGTGAAGCAGGTCAGGATAGCTCATAGTAACCACCAGACTACCAGGGGTGGGGGGTGAAGCAGGTAAGCTGGCTTAGTAACACCTCCCCACACAACAATAATAGCCCCGCCCTCACCACACGCACACCAACAATTTATCTATTTATATAAAGTTTACAGCTGTGTCCGCCATTTTGTCGGTCAAATACGTCGGTTTCATTCAAGAATGATCGAGTGTAAATTAAAAGTGATAATCAAAATTTATAAAATTATGGCATACAAATGTCACTAGCATATATACAAATGTAATTATTGTTTAACAGAACAATTAGTAAGGTTATCTGTATGGAACTACAACCTGCTTAATTATTTCTTGACTCCCTGCACCTCAAGGAAGGTTCCTTGACGCTCTTGATCTAGGGAATTGGATCTGTGCTCCAGTTCCCTGAATTGACTCTCAATACCTTCCATCCCCCCCCCACATGCACTGCTTAATCCTACGGGTTTAACGCTCCCCTATGATTGTAATGATAATAATCCTGACTCCGTCTTCATTACTTGAAACAACCTGAGGTCTTCATGTAGTGAGGCTAGACAGTCAGGAGCAGCAATTACAGTGGACTTCCTCCAACACAGGTGCCTTGAAGCACGGTAACTCCATGACTCCCTCCAACACAGGTGCCTTGAAGCACGGTAACTCCATGACTCCCTCCAACACAGGTGCCTTGAAGCACGGTAACTCCATGACTCCCTCCAACACAGGTGCCTTGAAGCACGGTAACTCCATGACTCCCTCCAACACAGGTGCCTTGAAGCACGGTAACTCCATGACTCCCTCCAACACAGGTGCCTTGAAGCACGGTAACTCCATGACTCCCTCCAACACAGGTGCCTTGAAGCACGGTAACTCCATGACTCCCTCCAACACAGGTGCCTTGAAGCACGGTAACTCCATGACTCCCTCCAACACAGGTGCCTTGAAGCACGGTAACTCCATGACTTCCTCCAACACAGGTGCTTGAAGCACGGTTTAAATCCATGACTCCCTCCAACACAGGTGCCTTGAAGCACGGTAACTCCATGACTCCCCCCAACACAGGTGCCTTGAAGCACGGTAACTCCATGACTCCCTCCAACACAGGTGCCTTGAAGCACGGTAACTCCATGACTTCCTCCAACACAGGTGCCTTGAAGCACGGTAACTCCATGACTCCCTCCAACACAGGTGCCTTGAAGCACGGTAACTCATGACTCCCTCCAACACAGGTGCCTTGAAGCACGGTAACTCCGTGACTCCTCCAACAAGGTTCCTTGAAGCACGGTAACTCCATGACTTCCTCCAACACAGGTGCCTTGAAGCCGGTAATTCCATGACTCCTCCAACACAGGTGCCTTGAAGCACGGTAACTCCATGACTCCCCCAACACAGGTGCTTGAAGCACGGTAACTCCTGACTCCCTCCAACACAGGGCCTTGAAGCACGGTAACTCCATGACTTCCTCCAACACAGGTGCCTTGAAGCACGGTAACTCCATGACTCCCTCCAACACAGGTGCTTGAAAGCACGGTAACTCCATGACTCCCTCCAACACAGGTGCCTTGAAGCACGGTAACTCCATGACTCCTCCAACACAGGTGCCTTGAAGCACGGTAACTCCATGACTTCCTCCCAACACAGGTGCCTTGAAGCACGGTACTCCATGACTTCTCCAACACAGGTGCCTTGAAGCACGGTAACTCCATGACTCCCTCCAACACAGGTGCCTTGAAGCACGGTAACTCCATGACTCCCTCCAACACAGGTGCCTTGAAGCACGGTAACTCCATGACTCCCTCCAACACAGGTGCCTTGAAGCACGGTAACTCCATGACTCCCTCCAACACAGGTGCCTTGAAGCACGGTAACTCCATGACTCCCTCCAACACAGGTGCCTTGAAGCACGGTAACTCCATGACTTCATCCAACACAGGTGCCTTGAAGCACGGTAACTCAATGACTCCCTCCAACACAGGTGCCTTGAAGCACGGTAACTCCATGACTCCTCCAACACAGGTGCCTTGAAGCACGGTAACTCCATGACTTCCTCCAACACAGGTTCCTTGAAGCACGGTAACTCCATGACTTCCTCCAACACAGGTGCCTTGAAGCACGGTAACTCCATGACTTCCTCCAACACAGGTTTCTTGAAGCACGGTAGCTCCATGACTTCCTCCAACACAGGTTCCTTGAAGCACGGTAACATGACTTCCTCCAACACAGGTTCCTTGAAGCACGGTAACTCCATGACTTCCTCCAACACAGGTTCCTTGAAGCACGGTAACTCTATGACTTCCTCCAACACAGGTTCCTTGAAGCACGTTAACTCCATGACTTCCTCCAACACAGGTTCTTTGAAGCACGGTAACTCCATGACTTCCTCCAACACAGGTTCCTTGAAGCACGGTAACTCCATGACTTCCTCCAACACAGGTTCCTTGAAGCACGGTAACTCCATGACTCCCTCCAACACAGGTTCCTTGAAGCACGGTAACTCCATGACTCCCTCCAACACAGGTTCCTTGAAGCACGGTAACTCCATGACTCCCTCCAACACAGATTCCTTGAAGCACGGTAACTCCATGACTCCCTCCAACACAGGTTCCTTGAAGCACGGTAACTCCATGACTCCCTCCAACACAGGTTCCTTGAAAGCACGGTAACTCCATGACTCCCTCCAACACAGGTTCCTTGAAGCACGGTAACTCCATGACTCCCTCCAACACAGGTTCCTTGAAGCACGGTAACTCCATGACTCCTCCAACACAGGTGCCTTGAAGCACGGTAACTCCATGACTCCCTCCAACACAGGTTCCTTGAAGCACGGTAACTCCATGACTCCCTCCAACACAGGTTCCTTGAAGCACGGTAACTCCATGACTCCCTCCAACACAGGTTCCTTGAAGCACGGTAACTCCATGACTCCCTCCAACACAGGTTCCTTGAAGCACGGTAACTCCATGACTCCCTCCAACACAGGTTCTTTGAAGCACGGTAACTCCATGACTCCCTCCAACACAGGTTCCTTGAAGCACGGTAACTCCATGACTCCCTCCAACACAGGTGCCTTGAAGCACGGTAACTCTATGACTCCCTCCAACACAGGTTCCTTGAAGCACGATAACTCCATGACTCCCTCCAACACAGGTTCCTTGAAGCACGGTAACTCCATGACTCCCTCCAACACAGGTTCCTTGAAGCACGGTAACTCCATGACTCCCTCCAACACAGGTTCCTTGAAGCACGGTAACTCCATGACTCCCTCCAACACAGGTTCCTTGAAGCACGGTAACTCCATGACTCCCTCCAACACAGGTTAATTGAAGCACGGTAACTCCATGACTTCCTCCAACACAGGTTCCTTGAAGCACGGTAACTCCATGACTCCCTCCAACACAGGTTCCTTGAAGCACGGTAACTCCATGACTCCCTCCAACACAGTTTCCTTGAAGCACGGTAACTCCATGACTCCCTCCAACACAGGTTCCTTGAAGCACGGTAACTCCATGACTCCCTCCAACACAGGTTCCTTGAAGCACGGTAACTCCATGACTCCCTCCAACACAGATTCCTTGAAGCACGGTAACTCCATGACTCCCTCCAACACAGGTTCCTTGAAGCACGGTAACTCCATGACTCCTCCAACACAGGTTCTTGAAGCACGGTAACTCCATGACTCCCTCCAACACAGGTTCCTTGAAGCACGGTAACTCCATGACTCCTCCAACACAGGTGCCTTGAAGCACGGTAACTCCATGACCCTCCAACACAGGTTCCTTGAAGCACGATAACTCCATGACTCCCTCCAACACAGGTTCCTTGAAGCACGGTAACTCCATGACTCCCTCCAACACAGGTTCCTTGAAGCACGGTAACTCCATGACTCCTCCAAACACAGGTTCCTTGAAGCACGGTAACTCCATGACTCCCTCCAACACAGATTCTTGAAGCACGGTAACTCCATGACTCCCTCCAACACAGGTTCCTTGAAGCACGGTAACTCCATGACTCCCTCCAACACAGGTTCTTTGAAGCACGGTAACTCCATGACTCCCTCCAACAGGTTCCTTGAAGCACGGTAACTCCATGACTCCCTCCAACACAGGTTTCCTTGAAGCACGGTAACTCCATGACTCCCTCCAACACAGGTTCCTTGAAGCACGATAACTCCATGACTCCCTCCAACACAGGTTCCTTGAAGCACGGTAACTCCATGACTCCCTCCAACACAGGTTCCTTGAAGCACGGTAACTCCATGACTCCCTCCAACACAGGTTCCTTGAAGCACGGTAACTCCATGACTCCCTCCAACACAGGTTCCTTGAAGCACGGTAACTCCATGACTCCCTCCAACACAGGTTCCTTGAAGCACGGTAACTCCATGACTTCCTCCAACACAGGTTCCTTGAAGCACGGTAACTCCATGACTTCCTCCAACACAGGTTCCTTGAAGCACGGTAACTCCATGACTTCCTCCAACACAGGTTCCTTGAAGCACGGTAACTCCATGACTTCCTCCAACACAGGTTCCTTGAAGCACGGTAACTCCATGACTCGTCTAAATTAGCAATAAACAAAGAAAATATGGAAGATAATTTTGGTTTTACGAACAGCTTCAAACAAGTCCAGCAGACTACATGATGACCTCACACTAAAACTGTGGTACCTATACCAGTTCACTTTTGTATGAGGATGTCAGCCACATGAACAGTATATTTTCAGAGACATCAACTACAACACTGTACGTAATTGTCGAAACATCCACCCATTTAGAGAGACATACAAACAAATCACTCAGGAGGTTATCAGTTATTTCATGGTAATAATAACAAACTATACAGGAAGTTATCAGTTATTTCATGGTAATAATAACAAACTATACAGGAAGTTATCAGTCACTTCATGGTAATAATATGTATGAAATCTGCATGGTGCATGCTCACCATCAGTCAACAATACTTAATACATACAGTAGGTATGAAAGTAAAATCTGAGAGATTAACAACCTTGGTGTATACACACTCAGGTTAACATCTAAATGTGTATGTAAACTAATATGAACACCTTTCACTGTATGTATATATATATATATATATATATATATATATATATATATATATATATATATATATATATATATATATATATATATATAT